AACACTATGATATAGTGAAATTTATCTCAGGATCCTTTCAGTGTAATTCATCACATTAATAGATTAAAGGAGAAAAATTATAATTATTTCAATGAATTAAGAAAAGATATTTAGGCCAGGGATTTAGCTCAGTGGTTCTGGGGCCTGCCTCACAAGCGCAAGGTCCCGAGTTCAATCGTCGGTACCAAAAAAAAAAGAAAAGACGTTTAATAAAGTTCAACCCTATTTGTAAAAGTTCTTGAACTATTATTAGAGGAGAGCTTCTCTACTTGTTAAAACCTACAGAAAGCCTTACAGTTAATGAATAAACTTTATATGAATTCCTTTAAGATTGGAGGAAAAGATGCTTACTGTTATTACTACTGTTACAATGTTTGTAGGAAGAAGAAAAATGAAATGAGATCTAAGGATTAGGAGAGAAAGATAAAAATCATTATTTTCAGACCATCTTTTACCTAAAAAAGTATCAGATTGAACAAACTACTAACTAATAATATAATTCTGTTAACTTGCTAAATACAAGATCAGTCTGTACAAATCAATAGCATTTATTTTCACCAGAAATTCTTCCTCTCACCTTCCCTTCTTTCCCTATCAGCTCCCCTCTCCTCCCTCCCTCCCTTGTTTTTCCTTTGTCCATTGTCCAGGCACCATTAGGCAGGCTCAGGTAGGCCATTAATGGCAACCAAAAAGAAACTGAGCCCCATACTTGCACACACATAGTTTAAATGAGATGGCCTAGATAGCTCATAATCAGAAGGCTTTCCAAATAAATTGATAATATTGCCAGAGTTTTCACTGACAGAAAGTACAAATTTGGGGGCTGGGGATTTAGCTCAGTGGCACCGTGCCTGCCTCACAAACACAAGGTCCTGAGTTTGACCCTCGGTACTGAAAAAAAAAGGTACAAATTTGGAAATGGACAAAGCTAGAATGCATCCCATAGTTTAGGCTAAATTAAAGCTAAATAACACAAACTCATGATTATCAATATGTATTGGATACTGAACATAAGTAGAAATGTGTACATATCTGTTGTGTGTGTGTGTGTGTGTATTACTAGATCATATGTGTGATGTCCTCAGGATTCATCGGTGTTATAGTATGATTCAGAATATCCTTACTTTTTAGGCAAAATAATTTCTAGTGTGTCCATACTGCATTTTGTTTACCCATTCATCTATGAGTGGACACCTTGGGTTGCTTTTACCTTTTGCATTTATAAATAATGCTGTGAACATAAATATATAAATATCACTTTCAAGTCCATGTTTTCAGTTCTTCTGATTATGTACCCAGAATTCCTAGATCATACAGAAATTTTGTTTTTAATTTTTATATTTGCAGTTTCAATTTTTGTGATTACATTCCTCACAAGAAGTTGGTACCTATACATAAATAAATTCTTTTTTCCCCAACCTCTATCTCTTGGTTCCCTTCCCATTTGCAAAAGATCTATCACCCCAATTTCTATTATCTGTCTTTTTTTTGTGCTTTTTTATATTTTGAGTTTCTCATATAAGAGAAGCCAAGCAGTGTTAAAGTTGTATGTCTGATTTATCTCACTTAACATTGTGGTCCCAAGGGGCACACATTGTCTTTTAAATGATTCACGTTTATCCTTCTCTGTGGCTGAGTAGTACTCTACTGTGGATAAACACCACCTTTTCTTTATGTATTCATCTGTTGATAAGATTTAGCTATTTTGCATTATGTTGCTATAAACATGAGTATGCAGTATCACTGTAATATGATGTCTTTAACTCATTGGGGCAGATACCTTGAAGGTGAATAGCTGGGTTGAATGGAATTTCTGTTTTTAGTTATTTGAGGAACTCTATACTGATTTCCATAATGATTGTACTAGTTTACATTCCCACCAATAATGTAGAAGGGTCTCCCCACCCTGCAGCTTTCCAGCATTTGTTATTATTTGATTACTTAGTGATAGCCGTTCTTTCTGGAGTAAGGTGGAACCTCAGGGGTTTGGTTTTTTTGTTTGTTTGTTTTTCTAAATAATAACATTTATTTAGCACTTCATAAATGCTTACATATAAAAATATTCAACAATACCCAGAGTAAAGATCAGATCAAAATATGAGGGTTAACACAGCTGTGCATTTTAAGTTGAGGTTGCATTTTTCTTATTGTCTAGATTAGAAAACACCCAGCAAGTTCATTTTAAGTCATTCTAAGAATTTTCACCCTGAGGTAAAGATTTCCCAGAACATGAGGGTAATTCCAGCGAGTACCTAATTTTCTTTATAAAGAAGTATCAACATCTCTTCTTTCTCATGCCAAGTTAAATTTTTCTGGTAAGCCTGTGTACTCCAATTTGATTTCTTCCTGAGCTTAAAGAGCATTCTTAATCCTAATTTTCCTTTTTATTATGTAGCTAACAGCCCTATGCTATCTATACTGCAAGACGCTCCTCACATGAGAAATGTAGGAGGTTTTTCACTGGTAGAGTCTGCTGAATTAGATACAGATCTTCACAAACATTTGTACTACCCAAAAGTTTAGTCATACTTTAAATTCCAGATCACTCTGGGTTGTGCCCTTCTGCATTGAAAGTCTTTAAGTTTCCAGTCTAGGTTTTATTCATGAGGCTTTTGTTGTAAGTTATCCTTCATTAGTTTTCAGTTAGGTTTCAATTAGCATTGTCATTGTGTATATTCATCTGGCTAACCACATTTTTTTTTCTCAACCAAATATCTGTGTTTAGCCAAACAAAGATTCTGGAAATCAAACCAAAGCTTAGTGGCAGTTTGTTTCAAATGAGGTAATAAAGTGAGACCTCAGCTTGCACAGGCTCAAGCAAGACTTGATATAAGGGAGAACTTTCTAAAATTCTTCAGGATAAGGCATCATCCAGATGGCTTCTTATTTTGCCTTAAGCAGTGTCAATTCCAAGATTACCAGATCCTACATTCAAAAAAGCGCATGAAAATAAATACCAAAAAGCAGAACCTATGCATGAGCTTCATTCACCACCACTTGGGAGTTTGCTAAGCCACTATTCTCTAAGAACATGAAATATTTTTTCAAAGACTTATATTTTATCTTTCTAGAACTTCATTTTACTCTCCAAAAGCAGAGACTGCTGAATCTTCATCTTTGATCATGCATGAGTTGATTCTGAAAATGTAGAAAAAAGTAAAGAGGCTTGATTGCAATGTGCCACTGTTTGGAACAGTGAATGGTATAGGAGACAACTGGGCTCTTTTATATAAAATGGTAATTTCTCCTTTACAGATTCCCCCTTTCACATAGAAATGGCTGTAGTTTCCAGTCATGGCAAGGGCTGGGCTGTGTTTCTTCCACCAAAAGCTCTGCTAGCTGACAGAGACCACGGAACTGCTGTGGGCCTGCATGTCCCCTAGCTCCTTCTGTAGCCTGGCATTCTTCTCCTCCTCTTCCAACAGCCTCCTCTTCACAGTGCGTAGCTCCTGCTGGGCTTCACATTTGATGTCATTGGCCACCACCGCTGCAGTCTGTAGGTCTGCCTGGAACCGCCTCCATTCCTCAGTCTCCTCCTTTATCTGTTTTGTCAGGGTCTTTAGCTGCCATTCCAGGTCTGACTTCTGCTCTTCCAGCTTGATCACACTGCTCTCTAGCTCACTAATGAGCTGATTGTTGTATAACTTGACAGCCCAGTGCTGTTCCACCTGATCTTCCAATTCAAATATGGTTTCTTTCATGTCTTTAATCTCTGCATCACTCTCTGATGCTTTCTCTTGTAGTTTTAGGCTGGTTCTGCTCAGCTGTTCTGCTTGATGATCACATATCTCCTTCACGTAAGAATAATCTTTTTCCATCTTAGCTAGCAGGCTTGAAATGTGTTTAATTTCACCATTTGCTTTTAGCAATTCTTGTCTGAGCTCAGTGCAAGAAAGTTCCAGCTGATCTTTCTCAGGTCGAGCTACTTTCAACATTTCCTGAAGTTCACAGTTCTCTGCTGTTTGCCCCAAGATACTACTGGTCTCCATGGCTTTTTGCTTCTCACCTTCCAGGTGAGCCTTCAAAGACCCATTCTCCATCTTCAAGCCTTCCAAGGTAACTCTACATTCTTCCAAAGTTTTGGTCATCACATTATTATTACACCGTTCTAGTTCTAGGAAGCCATTCAGTTTTTCATTTTCTTCTTTCAGGTGCTTGATCATGTCCAAAGCTCCTTGGTTTTCTTCTTCAACCTTCCGTAAGCTACAGGTCAACTGCTGCTGAATGTTGAGCAGCTTTTCTCTTTCAAAGCGGCTTTTCTCAAGAATATCTGTGCATTTCTGCTCTAGCTCAAGGATTTTCCCTTCTTGGGCACTGGGCTCATCATTCTTCACTCGCTCTTGTAAAAGGTTTATCAGT